TAGCTGGGGCCCAAAAGAAAACCCTTTTAAAAAAAAACAAAAAAAAAAAAAAAAAGTTACTAATGTAAGTGAACGTATCAGGAAAGGATGGTGACAGTAACATAATACTGCCTTTGTTTTTCTAGGTTTCTTCAGCATTTTTCTGTTAGCAGCATTAGTCAGGAGCCTGTGATGCGAACCCATCTTCCAGTCCTGTTGCAACAAGCTGAAATCAGCCCTGCTCACAGATTAGAAAATGACAAGGTAGAGGAGTTCACTAAACATGCGGGGAACTCACAGGAGGATAATCCTGCAAGCCTATATCAGCTAACCAAAGGAGCTCTGTCCCGTCTCCACTTCCTCGAATACCGATAATGATACACATGAAACCCACTCTGTACAATGACTATCAGGCCAGGTCCCATGACTGATAAAATCCTGACACCTTGCCATGCCTACCCCTTACTTCTCCAAGTCTTTTAAACTTTCTGTATTCCTGTCCTATCAATCTTTCTAGTTATGACAAGGACTTATTTAGCAGTGGATGACATATTGTACTTTTGGGGGCGTTCTTTTTAAGACAGGGTCTCCTTGTAGCCCCAGATGACCTGGAATTCACTATGTGGACCAGGCTGGCCTCTATCTTGCAGAGATCCTCCTGCCTCAGCCTCCCAAATGCTGGATGTATGCCACCACACCTGGCTGTATTGTACTTCTTAATAAAGAAAAGGATGCCCGTGTTACCTGGGCCTTGTTGCAGTCACCAGGGTAAGGTGGTACTCTGATAAGCCTTGTCTTCCCCAGAGTGAACTTCAGTGTGCTGCTGCCCCATGCATCCTTTGACCTTCCCCCACTATTCCTTTGGAAGCCATTGTCATAGAGTCAAAGAGGGCATTTGTATCTGTGCAAGTCCAAAAAATAACTCATCTACAAAAGGAGGTAGCATAAGTAATTAGAAACACCAGTTTTTCTTTAGAAAATAAGGTTAAAAAAAAAACTTGAAAATATGTACTTTTGGTATTTTATTTAAAAGGGGCTAGAGGCCAGGTGTACATGCCTTTAATCTCAATACTCAAGAGGCTGAGACGGGGGATCTCTATGAGTCCCAGGCCAGCCTGATCTACATAATAAGTTCCAGGCCATCCAGGGGTGCATAGTGAGACCCTATCTCCAAGAGAAAAAAAAAAAAAAAGTACCATAGGACTGGTCTTAAAGTAAGAAAGTGCCTACCTGGGTGACTCTTGAAAAACCTACACCCACATTATATTTTTGGGTATATACTCTTCTTTTGCTAGGCACTTCTCTTTATGTTAGCATTCATGCTTAAATCTATGCTAAAATTTAGCTCTTCTTCATAAAATCTAACTTGACTTAAAAAAGAAAAAGAAAAAAGTATTTGGCTGTATACACATATTGTGATTTAAAGAACCAAGAACCCCCTGGGCACTAGGAATAGGACTAGGAATAGAAGAATAGAGGAATAGGAAACAAGATGGGAAAAGCTTGCTTGGGAAGTAAATAAAATGTCAGTTACATGAAGTACTTCCCAGGGAGCAAAAAGGGATTCAGTATAGAGACCATGAAGAGGGGCAGAAGAACTTGGGCTCCCACAAAAGAAAAGGGCTCCAATAGCTATCTCTGTGCTTATGTGATTATCCCTGCTACTAAATGCCACCAGGCTTAGCTTTAGTGTAAGAGGTCTATGACTGGGCCTGTCTTGATGAGTCCTGTGTATTGTGAAATAAAACATATAACTGGGTCTGATGGTTTGTGCCTGTAATCCTAAATTTCAGGAGGCTGAGGTAGGAGAATTGCTGCCAGTTTGAAACCAGCCTAGGTTATATGAGTTCCAAGCCAGCTTGGGCTATAGAGTGAGACTGTCCCAAAAGAAAATGAAAACAAGAACTTCTGATAGGCAAGCCTTGATAAGCCTTGCCGTTTATTAGACATTCGGGAATTACATGATTCTTACCTGTCTTCCTCTGCTAAACCCTTTGTCTTTCAGTAAATTTTTTATTTTTTATTTATTTATTTATTCTTTTTGGTCTTTTTGAAGCAGGGTCTCCCCGTAGCTCCAGCTGTCCTGGAACTCACTATGTAGACCAGGCTGGCCTTGAACTCACAGAGATCCGCTTGCTTCTACCTTCCAAGTGCTGGGACTACAGGCGTGCACCACCACACCCGGCCAGTAATTTTTTTTAAGTCTTTGAGACAAGGTCTCCCTGTAGCCGGGCTGGCCTGGAATTCACAGAGATCTGCCTACCTCTGCCTCCTGAGTGCTGGGATTAAAGGCTTGTGCCATCACACCCAGCTTCAGTAAATTTCTTAAATGGCCTTGGGGTATCTACCTGAAGAAGAGCCGGTTTTCCTGTGCTGGTAAATGAGGCTGCATGGCTCCTTTTCTTCCATGAGAGTCCAAAGTCCTTCTCATGTCCAGGGAGTTTTGACCCAGCCCAGGCCATGTGGTTTGGAGGCCATGGACATCTAGACAGAAGAATCCCAGTATAGCTCCTCTCCTCACCACATTCACCACACCAGTATAGCTTGGGACATTTCTGTCCTAGACTTCCTTTCTGCTCAGTGTTTGCCTAAGAAATGTTATCCTGAAAATCTGCTTTACAAAGGAGGTCTGTGATCTTAAGCAAGTAGACTCTCTAAATACATTATATTTTATTTTACTTATTGGTTTTATTGTTTTTTTTTTTGAGACAGGGTCTCCCTGTAGCCCCAGCTGTCCTGGAACTCACTATGTAGACCAGGCTGGCCTTGAACTCACAGAGACCCACCTGCCTCTGCCTCCCGAGTGCTGGGACTAAAGGTGTGCGTCACCATGCCTGGCTAATACATTATATTTTAATTGATATAGTCACAACCTGCTCTACAGAAATTAGAACAATAAGGCTACTTTTTATAAAGCAGACTATGGGTCAGGCGCTATTCTAAGTACTTTATGTAAATTAACTCCATTTGTCCTCACACCTAACATGTAAAGTAGGCTTTGCCATTAGCCTTCAGTCACAGAGCTAGTGAATGATGGTTCTGAGCTTCAAACCCACAAAGCCTGGGTCTAGAAATCAGTTCTCTTAATCTTTTGCAGTTTTCTTCTCAGTTGAATTGGAAAATCATGTGTCTTTTTCTTTTGTGTAGGTAATCATCAACATTGTAACTGGCCTCCCTGGCTGTCATGCTAGCCAGCTCTGTGCTTTTCTGGTCACTCTGCATAAAGAATATGGCAGGTTAGTACAGCTTCCACTTTTTCTTTGGGGAAAGAAATTGTATTTCTGGGCCTGCCCTAGTATAGGTTTCCTTAGATGTGTATTGACATTTGACATGACGTATTGACACAGTAGTCATCCATCCATCTGTCCATTTAACACACTGTTTAGTGTTTCCCGTAGTCCAGACACTGATCTGAACGTGAAGGAATACATTAGGGGGAAAATTAGACAAGAAAATCTCTGCTCTCAGGGCCTGGAGAGATGGCTCAGCAGTTAAGAACACTTGCTGTTCTTCCAGAGGACTCAGGTTCAATTCCCAGCATGCACATGGCAGCTAACAACCATGTGACTTTAGTTCCGGGGATCTGACCCCCTCTTCTGGCTTCTGCAGGCATTGTATGCATGTAGTACACTTACATAACATGCAGGCAAACACTCATACCATAAAATAAAAACAATAAAATATTTCTTTAAAAAAGAAAATCTCTGGGGTTAGGGATTTAGCTCGGTGGTAGAGCGCTTGCCTAGCAAGGGCAAGGCCCTGGGTTCGGTCCTCAGCTCCAAAAAAAAAAAAGACAGAATAACAAAAAAGACCAAAAAAAACCAAGGCAGCAAAAAAGAAAATCTCTGCTCTCACAGAGTTTATGTTGTAGTTTGAAAAGGTTGTTAGCCAGATAAGGAAGATGTAGTATATTAGTGAACAAAAAGTGCTGTGGAAGTCAGGTATGCTAGCACATGCCTATAATCCAAGCACTTGAGAGACTGAGGTAGTAGGATTGCCATGCCTTCAAGGCCAGCCTTGGCTACATAGTGAGTACCAAGCCAGCACCAACCAAAAAGTGCTATGGAAAAAAAAATAAAAGCAGAGAAAAGTACAGGAAGTATAAGCTTAGAATGGGGTTCTGGTTTGTTTGTTTTCTTCATTTCTTTATTGTGTGTGTATGCTGTGTCTGTTGTGGGTATACATGTGCCATGTTGCATGTGTGAAGGTCAGAAGACAACTTTTTTTTTTGGTCTTTTTGAAACAGGGTCTCCCTGTAGCCCCAGCTGTCCTGTAACTCACTATATAGACCAAGCTGGCCTTGAACTCAGAGATCCGCCTGTCTCTGCCTCCCGAGTGCTGCGATCAAGGGTGTGCACCACCTGGCTAGAAGACAACTTTTGAGAGTCAGTTCTCTCTCTACATGTGAGTCCCAGGAATTGAATTCAGGTGGTCAGGCTTGGCAAACAAGTTCCTTTACCAGCCTAACCACCTCTCCAACCCAGGCATTCCAGTTTTAAATGATGAAGAAAGACCTCTTTGAAAGGTTGACATCGAGCAAAGACCTAAAGAAATAAGGGAATGAAAGCTGGTGTTGTAGCTCATAGTGTGCTTGCCTAGCATGCCTGAAGTCTGGGCTCAATGTCCAGTACCACATAAATTAAGTGTAGTGGCACACACTTGTAATCCCAGCAACTCAGGAAGTAGACACAGGAGGATCAGAAATTCCAGGTCATCCTCAACTGTACAAGAGGTTAAAAGCTGGCCTGTTTCAAAAAGAAAGAAAAGCAAAAGAATGGAAGAAATAGGAGAGGAAGAGGCAGAAGAGGAAGGAAAAGGAAATTTAAAAGGGATGACAAGTGATATCTACCGGAAGAGCATCATAGGAACAAGATGAGCAAGTGTAAGGAGCTAGAAGTATGTCTGATATGTATGTAGGGAAAGTCAGGACCATAGTGGCTTTAAGAACTTGGGAATTGGAGACCACAAGGGCCTACATGAGTCCAGGCACAGTAGGACATGCTAGCTGAAGTGACATTAGGGAAGTAATTCATTCACCACTTTGCATGACTAGCAGATTACTAATCAACCCTTGCTTGTGAGCCAGGCATTTAATATCTAGTCTGCTCCAAAGTAAGGCATTCTACAGGATACTATAAAGGAACTGAAAAGAAATTGTTGGAGGATTCAAAGTTTAGGATGGGAGGCTGTAGGAATGAGAAGGCATGCTTTGGAAATATGCTAGGGAAATACTGAGTCTTGTTTAATAAGTACTTAAAGGCTAACCAGATCCTCACATCGAGTGCTTTTGTCCTATAAACATTTTTTTTTGATAATTGAAGAAAGATCTCATTGTAGCTCATGCTTGCCTTGAACTTGGTATGTAGCTATAGTGGAGGATGACTTTGATCTTGATCTTTCTACCTCCACCTTCCAAGTGCTGGATTATAAGCATGAGCCACCATACCCAGATTTTCTTTTCTTTCTTCCTTCCTCGCCCCGTTTTTTAGACAACAGTCTAATGTAGTCTAGACTTCACTATGTAACTCAGTTATGGCAACCCTTTCCCTCAGCCTCTTGAATACTGGCTTTATAGGCAACTGCCACCATTCCTAGCTGTTGTCCTATAAACATTCTGAATTCCTGAGCTGGCCTGGAACTCACTGTGTAGACCAGGCTGGCCTCAAACTCACACCTTGAACACTGGGATTAAGGCGTGCATCACCACACCCAGCTGACCTTGCCTATTTCTTATTAGCAAGAGTTATACTGTGCACTAAAGCCATCTTTATCAGGAAATAACTGCCTGGTCAGGAATCTTTCTCACCTCTGAAGCCTTTTTGACCATATGCTTACCTGTTCTTGTTCCCTATGGCAGGAAATTTTTTTTCAAAAGCTCCAGTGATTGCAGGATACTGGGTTCCCAACCCAGCTAGTGCCCACTGCCTGTATGTGTGATGTCACAGTTGCTTTCTCTCCATAGATACATTAGGAGAATATTTTTGAGAATACTGATCATGTTTAAATCCGTGGCTGGTGTGGTGGGGGTTTGGGGGGGTGGAGAGATAGCTCAACAGTTAAGAGCATTGGCTGCTCTTGCTGAAGACCCAGGTTTGATTCCCAGCACCCACATAGCAGCTAAAAACCATCCATAACTCCAGTTCCAGGGGACCCAACACCTTCTTCTGACCTCCATGGGCATTGCACAACACAAGTGTACTTACATACATGCAGGCAATACACTCATACACATAAAATAAAATAAAACAGGCCAGGCGTGGTGGCACACGCCTTTAGTCCCAGCACTTGGGAGGCAGAGGCAAGCGGTCTCTGTGAGTTTGAGGCTAGCCTGGTCTACATAGCAAGTTCCAGGATAACTGGGGCTACAGGGAGACCCTGTCTCAAAAAGACAAAAAAAGAAAATAAAAATTTAATTATATTAAATTAAAATAATAAATAAAATATTTTAAATCCATTAGGTGGTCTTATGCTAAGATTACCTTTACCATTTCCAGGTGGATGGTGTACCGCCAAATCATGGACAGCTCTGAATGTTTTCATGCTGCCCACTTCCAAAAATACCTTTCCAGTGTCCTGGAGGCCCAACAGAATCGCTCCGCCCGTCAGTCAGCTTATAGCCGAAAGAAGACCAGGCTGCTGGTGGTATTACAAGGGTGAGTGTTAGAGATCTGGGAGTAGTCAAGTGAGGTGGTGATCTTTGTCATTGCTGTTACCTTATATGTAGCAAACCTAGGCACAGAACAAACTCCAAATGTGCCCTAGTATCTGCATAGTACAGAAAGGCTAGGACCTTGTTGCCATACTGTGGCCAAGGGTGGCAATCTTAGCTACACAGGTTTCAATTTTATTTCTATGGCATAATATCCCCTGGAAGTGGGGGATTAGGGAATCTGGCAAAGATTCTCCAGTAGTTCTTAAGAGTAATAGTAGTCTTTGAACTTCTTCCTTTGCCATCTAGACAAGGGAGCCTCATCTGTTTTATTCCTCCCTTTTATGGCCCTTAAACTTAGTAGTCTCCAAGTCCCCGTTTCCCCAATGGCTAGCCTAAGGGAGTTTCTTGGGATGCACAGTGAGAAACATGCATAGTCCAGTTGAATTGGAGTTTCTGCCTCACGACTGATGCAGAACTGTGATTGTAGGCTTCTTAAATCCTGAAACCCCTGATAAATAGTATTATCAAGGGCATGCAACATGGGCCTTCCCTGTGGGAGTCGTATCCTCCCTCTCCCCCTCCCTTGGTCTCTCTCTCTCTTGCCCTCGCTCTCTCCCTCCATCCTTCCCTCTTTCCTTCCCTCCCTCCTTCTCTCCATGTGTATGAGGCATATATGTAGTATATGTGCAGGTATATGTGTGTTCACATATGGAACCAGAAGAAGACAGAAGGTGTCCTGCTCTGCTACTCTCACCCTATTCCTTTGAAACAGGTTTCATAGAACCTAGACCTAGGCGGTCAGCCTTCTGTCTCTGACCATACAGCACTGGGGTAACAGGCAGACACAACCATGCCTGGCTTTTTTTTTTTAAACCTAGATGTTGGAGATTCAAACTCAAATCCTCATGCTTGCATAGCAAATGCTTTACCTACTGAGCCATCTCCCCAGCCTGGGAAGGAAGATTTGACAGAGCATTTTCCACTGCTCCAGAGAACTCTGGCCAAAGAGAATAGGCCTTCCATGGAGGGTACCTTGCAAGTTCATTATCACCTGGGCCCCTGAGAAGAATGCATTGGGTCAGGAAAACAGAGCCTCTACTTTTCTCTAGTGTTATGTTTGTAAAGAAGTTTTGTGTTGTGCTCACTATAATTAGTCTTTATTGCAGGCTGTTTGTTTTCAGTAAAGAATAAGCCCAGATCCAAAACCCTATTTGGGCTCCTAATTGTGATGATGGGGCTTAGAGGGAGCTGGTGTGGTGGACCTGAGGAAGGAGACATGTCTTCAGGCACTAACAGACCTTGTTCTCATACCCCACCTACAGTTTTCCTTCTGCCAGCGCTTTTGTCCCACTGTCAGTGTATGCTGTGGAGTCCACAGAGGAGGAACCTGGCCTTGGAAACCCTTGTTTTCTTCAGGTTTTCTATTACTTCTGACAGTCAAAGGAATGGGTTGGCCCAGCACCACCACCTCCTGAGCTGAGAGTCACCCGGAGTGTGAACCTAGAAGGGAATTTGACAGCTTGTCATTGTACAGCTGAGATCACTTCTATTGTCTATCATTTCAGAGAGCATTGTTGATTCCTTGTATATATCTGACTCTACAAGTCTGTAAAAATGTTAGCTATCCTGGCAGCTTCTGGTCTTCATAGAGTATATATGACCAGCCAGTTCTTAAAATATTTTTATTTAGGCCAGGTGTGGTGGTGCACGCCTTTAATCCCAGCATTTGGGAGGCAGAGGCAGGCGGATCTCTGTGAGTTTGGGGCCAGCCTGGTCTACATAGTTCCAGGCCAACTGAGGCCACAAGGAGACCCACTCAAAAAAATTATTATTTTTATTTTTTTATGTGTGTGAGTGTATTGCTTGCATGCATTAAGTGCACCCGTGTCATGCAATGCCTGTAGAGGTAAGAAGAGGGCATCCAATCCCCTGGAACTGGAATTACAAATGGTTGTTAGCCACCATGTAAGTGGGAATCAAAGCTGGCGCCTCTGCAAGAGCAGCCATTGTTCTTAACCAGTGAGCCAGCTCTCCAGCCTGACCAGCTAGTTCTTGTAGAGTAGCCCCAGCCTTCACCCAATCATATCACAGCATGTAAGGGACTCCTATAGATGTCCTAAATGACTCAAATGAGAATAACAGCTAGGGCAAGCCATGGTGGTTGACACCTGTATATAATTCCAGCATTTGGAATGTGGCAGTAGGAAGATCAGAGTTTAAAGCCAACTTTGGCTTCATAGTGAGTTTGAGGCCAACCTAGGTTACGTGAGACTCTGTCTCAAAAAAATGGGGAAGGGGCTAAAACGATTCCTTAGCAGTTAAGACCACATACTTCTCTTTCAGAGGGCATGAGTTCAGTTCCTAACACCCATGTGGGTGACTCACAACTGCCTGTAATTCAAGCCCCCACCGGCACTCACATGTCCATACCCACAGGTACACATGTACACATAATTTTAAAAATTAATAAAAATATGGGACTGGAAAGATAGTTTTGTGGTTAAGAGCATTAGCTGCTCTTGAAGAAGACCCAGGTTTGGTGCCCAGCACCCAAATGGCCACTCAAAACAGTCAGTAACTCCAGTTTCAAGGGATTTGATGCCCTCTTCTGGCCTCCACAGGAATTGCATGCCTGGGTGCACAAATACATGTAGGCAAAACACTCATACGTGTAAAATTTAAAAATTAATAAAAATAAATCCTTTTTAAAAAAGAACATCTAATAGCAGCTCAATACTGTGACTCTTCACTAAGGTACTATCCTTACAGATTTGGTCCAATTTTTTAGACCCAATAGGTAAATGTAGTTACCTGCTTTATACCTTGTTCATCTCCTTGGCACTGGACATTATTAAAGGCCTACCAACACTGCACTGGAAAGAGACTCATATGGCCATACACACATACCCAAGAGGAGAAGCCAGTAAGCAGGGGCTAGGGCTCACTCAATAGTTTCTTTTATAAGGCAGACATAGTAACTCATAGTAATCTTGCATTTGGGAGGCTGAAGCAGGAGGATTGCCACAAGTTCAAGGCCAGCCTATTCTAGACAACAAGTTCAGGCCACCTAGAGCTACACAGTGAGAGCCTGGATGGATGGATGGATGGATGGATGGATGGATGGATGGATGGGTGGATGGGTGGATGGGACAGACAGATAGGTAGGCAGACAAACAGGGAGGAGGGGGGCAGCCAGGCCCCAATAGTGAACTTAGCACACTCTTTCCTCTACTGAAACTCTGCCGGACCAGGGTGGGGTTGCATGATACTGTAATATGGGATAAAACCAAGGGTCTTTTTACAGATGAGTTGTTTGTAGGAACTCAGGATATATCTCTGGCAGGCTGTACCCACCCCACCACCTCCCACCAGTCTTCCAAGGGCTCAGACACATACAGGTCTATCTGATCTGCCAGACTGCCCATCAGGTTGGAATTCTCGCCATAGAAACAGATTTTTTTAATATGTTTTTAAAATTTTATTATTTTCATTTTATGTATATTAGTGTATTGCTTAGATGTACGTAAATGCACCCATGTCATGCAATGCCCATGGAGAACAGAAGGTGTCAGATCTCCTGAAACTGGAAATAGGAATGGTTCTTAGCTGTCATGTGGATGCCAGGAATCGAACCCAGGTCCTCTGCAAGAACAGTCAGTGCTCTTAAGCACTGAGTTGGAGCTATCTCTCCAACTCTAATGTATTTTTTTATTTAATTTTTGTTTTATGTGTATGGGTGTTTTGCCTGCATGTATGTAAGTGCACCCATGTTGTGCAGTGCCCACAGAGGCCAGAAGTGGGCTTCAGATCCCGTGGAACTGTAGTTATAGGCAGTTGAGATGTGTGAGCTGGGAATTGAACCCAGGTCTTCTGTAAGAACAGCCATTGCTCTTAACTACTGAGCCATCTCTCCAGCCCAGAAACAGATTTTTTGATAATAGTCTGGGTCCACTGGGACAGTGCTGTTCTCTATGATGTAAAGAAGTCTCTTCTTAGAGTAGCCCAAGGTCTGCTGGGGATTGAATGCCCGGTTCCTTCACCTACCTTGCTTTTGACAGCAGAGACTATAACAGTGAACAGCCACCTCATACTGTTTACTGTAGCAGACAAAAAAAATGCACAAAAAGAAAACTAAAGAAATAATCAGGGGCTGGAGAGATGGCTAAGTGGTTAAGAGCACTGACTGCACTTGCAAAGGACACAAGTTCGATTCCCAGCACCCACATGGTGACTAACAACCATCCACAGCTCCAATTCCAGGGAATCCAACACCCTCTTCTGACCTCCATGGGCATTGCATAACACAGGTGCACTTACACACATGCAGGCAATACACTCATACACAAAAAATACATACATACATACATACATACATACATACATACATAAATAAATATTTTTTAAAAGAGAAAGGATCGTTGGGGATTTAGCTCAGTGGTAGCAAGCGCAAGGCCCTGGGTTTGGGCCTCAGCTCCAGGAAAAAAAAAAAAAAAAAAAAAGGCCAGGCATGGGGGGGCCCACCTTTAATCCCAGCACTTGGGAGGCAGAGGCAGGCGGATCTTTGTGAGTTCGAGGTCAGCCTGGTCTACATAGTGAGTTCCAGGACAGCTGGGGCTACAAGGAGACCCTGTCTCAAAAAGACCAAAAAAAAAGAAAAAGAAAATAAAAGAAAGGATCAAACAAAAATAACGAAGAAACTGCATACAGTCAATGCTTTGGAGAAGAACTGGGGAAGGATACAAGGAGTTCCAAGAAGGAGTATCTCCATTATTGCATAGGGTGTGTGAAGTCATGGTGTCTTTCATAAGACGCTACTTGAGTGACTGAAGAGTGCTTACTTCTCTATCAGAGGACTAGAGTTTGGATCCCAGCACCCACATGGAGAGCTCACAAATATCTGTAACTCTAGCTCCAAGGGTTCCAAAGCCCTCCTTCTGACCTCCATGGACACCTGTACACACATACTAAACAATAAAAGATGCCACTTGACATAGCTCAGTTGGTAGAGCACTCAACTACCATGTGCAAGACCGAGTTTGATCCCCAGCACCACAAAAATGACAACAGAATGCACTTGAGAAAAGACCTGAAGGGAGCAAGCCAGGCAGATACCAGAGGAAAAGAACATTCCAGGCAGATGGAACAGAGAGTACAAAGGTAGACATACACCTGTCATGTTCAGAGAGGAGCCAGAACTCCAAAGTGGTTGGATTAGGGAGAAGGGACAAGATAATGGAATTCTTCCTACATTCTGAGAGGTCAGATTGTGCAGGACTGCCTGGCCCATGGGAAGGGTTTTGGTTTTTGCACTGAGATGAAACCACTAGAGGGTTTTGAACAGAGTAATGTGATCTGTCAAAGGGTTTAGCATATCCCTCTGGCTTCCATGTTGAGAATGGATTGCCAGGAGACAAGACAAAAGTAGGGGAGCTAAGCTGGGCATGGTGGCACACACTTTTAATCCCAGCACTAGGAGGCAGAGGCAGGTGGATCTCAGATCGAGGCTGGCTTGGTCTACATGATGAGTTCCAGGCTTTCTGGAGCCTCATGGAGACCCTGTCTCAGAAAGACCAAAAAAAAAAAAAAGTAGGGGAGACAGCCAGCCAGGAGATGGTTGGGGTGATCTAGGCAAAACAGTAGCAGTTTGGACCCAATGAGAATATGAGCAGATCTCTTCTAGTTACATGTTGAAGACTAAGAAGAATAAAATGAAGTCAAAGAGGATTCCAGATCTTTTAGTGTCGTGTCTGAAAGAATAAAGTTCCCACAGCTAAGAATAACAAGGACTTGATAACTTCTAAGTGAAATTATCAAATTGGCTCTGTAAATCAAGATTGGAGGGAGTTCCAGGCAGAAGATAGGAATAGAAATGGGATGTTACATGTGAAATGGGAAGGAGAGGGAAAAGCTACCAAAGAAAATTGACACTGACAGGAGTTCATAAGTTAATGATTAGAAAACACGGAGTCCCACTTTCAGAGCCCCCAGTCATTTTGCAGGCTTCCTATCCTCAGAATAGGTTGGCTCTTCTACCCCCTCTTGCCAGTTAGGACTGAAAGAATTTTGGAATGCAGAAACAGTTGGTGAATTCTGGGGCTTTAAATCCTAAAGTCAGGTGACACAAGGCCCCTATAGCAAGCTTCTGGGGTTTTTTTTGGGGGGGGGCGGATTTTTTGAGACAGGGTCTCTCTATAGCCCCAGCTGTCCTGGAACTCACTATGTAGACTAGTCTGGCCTTGAACTCCCAGAGACCCCTGCCTCTGCTGGGATTAAAGGCCTGTGCTGCCATACCTAGCCAAGCTTCTGTTTTTGGTCTTCCTTCTGGCCTTGCCCACTCAGCCACTCAGTATCCTCCTAGTAAGCTAACCATTTGCTTTTCTCCCTTCAGCTACACAGATGTTATTGATGTTGTTCAGGCCCTGCAGACTCACCCAGACATAAATGTCAAGTCCTGTTTCAGCATTGGTGCCATCACAGTGTGTGTGGAGCCCCTGAGTTGCTACATGGAGCACAGGTACAGACATGACTAACTCCAGCCCAAGTGATTTTTCCCCTACCCACCAGAATGAGACAGGTCTTTATACATGTTTGACTTTTGGAACATATCAGTCTACCTTGTGTGTTGTAAATACTCTATTATTATTTTTTGTTTGTTTGTTTTCTGTTTTTGTTTTGCTTTGGGAATTTTTTGAAGTATTTGATACCTTATGGGTCACTTAGTTCCATCTTACCTTTTTTTTTGACACTGGGTCTCCCTGTAGCCCCAACTGTCCTGGAACTCATTATGTAGACCAGACTGGCCTCGCACTCACAGAGGATCTGCCCGCCTCTGCCTCCTGAGTGCTGGGATTAAAGGCAGGGCATGGGTCACCATGCCCAGCTTGGGATTTTACTTTAATAGTACAGCCACTGTACGCCTTCTTTGCTCTGATACATAAACTCCAACCCATGCTCAGAGCAGGGAACTCCAACTAAACTCAGTGTGCCATACACAAAAGAAATACATCAAGGTAGGAGGAAGACTTGTTAAGAAGAAGGGCTACAACAGGAGTGCTGGGATCAAAGGCGTGCGCCACCACGCCCGACTTTATTATTTTTATTTTATGTGTATGAGTGTATTACCTGCATGTGTGTAAGTGCACCTGTGTCATGCAATGCCTGAGGCGGTCAGAAGGAGGCATTGGATTCCCCCAGAACTGGAGTTACAGATGGTTGTTAACTGCTGTGTGGGTGCTGGTAATCAAACCTAGGTGCTCTGTAAGAGCAGTCAGTGCTCTTAGCTGCTGAGTCATCTCTCCAGCCCCCTGGGGATTTTTTTTTTTTTTGTACAATTTTTATTGAATTTTTACACAAAAATTTTATATAAAACTTTTATTTTGTGTATATGAGTGTATTGCCTGCATATATGTGAGTGCACCTGTGTCATCAGAAGAGGGCTTTGTATTCCCCTGGAACTGGGGTTAAGGACAGTTTGTAGCCACCATGTGGGTGCTGGGAATGGAACCCAGGTCCTCTGCAAGAGTAGTTAGTGCTCTTAACCACTGAGCCATCTCTCCAACCCCTATATAAAACATTTTAATAATCTTTATACCCCCTCCCCACCCATAGCCACTGCCACTGGATTTCATGCATTCTGTCATTTATATTAAGGCCTATTAAGTCAAGTTACTGTACCTAGCCATCCCTCAATGCAAGTTCATCCACTCAGGTCTAGTCAGCCTATCTAGAGTCACTCCCTTAAAGAAGATCAGCTCTCCCTCACCCAGCAGTAATAAGCTGCCAATAATTCTTTGACTAAGATTGGGTCCTGCTCTTCTGTGCTGGGTTTTTGTCTGCTTAAGTTTGCATGGGTCTTGTGCATGCTAACACTATTGCTGTAGGTTCATATGATGACGGTCCCAGCCTGTAAGACTCTCTTTCCCTCCGTTATTCTTTGACTTGTGTGAAGTACTAAAAAGATGCAAAGCCAAAGAAGGGGAAAAAAAAAAAAACAGTTATGAACGACAGACTTCATTCACTTCTGTGAGAACAGGAGCCATGTCCTTTCAATTCTTTGTACATAGTACAGGGTTGAGGATATATCTCCATGGTTGGGCACTTGCCTAATGTACATAATAGACCCTGGGTTCAGTCTCAAGCACTGCAAAAAAAGAAGGAAGGCTTGGGGATGGAGATGGTGGAAGGGAACTGTCTGGTAAAAGTTGAATGTCGTAGCAAAGGCCTGTAGTCCCAGTACTCAGGAAGCAGAGACAAGAGAATCACTAATTTGAAGCCATACTGGGCTATAGCAATTTCTAGGCCAACCTAGGCTATAGTGAGACCCTGTTTCAAAGGAAAAACTACTTGGAGCCAGGTGTGGTGGCGCATGCCTTTAATTCCAGCACTTGGGAGGCAGAGGCAGGCAGATTTCTGTGAGTTCAAGGCCAGCCTGGTCTACATAGTGAGTTCCGAGCCAACTGGGGCTACAGGGAGACCCTGTCTCAAAAAGACCAAAAACAGGAAGAAAGAAAGAAATGCTTGGTGACCAAGTGGGCACTCAAGGTCAGCCTAAGCTACAGAATGAGAAAAACCCTTTCTCAAAACAGTGTAAATAGGTATGCCAACACGTGTACCAAAGACATATTTTAATAAATGTGATATAAAAAGACTGAAGATTAGTGCATAATTATTTAAATATAGACATAATGCTTAAGTTGAGTGAGTGACTATGGAATATAAAAATATAACAGAATCAAGGCTAATAAAGTATGAGTATTCTGGTATGCTGATTTCTTTACTTTTTTCAAATTGAGAGGTCAAAATATTTAAGTCAATAAATAAAAGTTGCTAATTTGCTCACTTTTTAGATATTAATGAGAAATTTCTGAGTTCTGTCTAGGAAGTAATTTACTATAGTGATTTATTAATGCTCTATTTAAAACTAAGGATTGGTCCTTGGAGCATGTGAAGTGGTATAAGAGAATTGTGGGAAGCCAGAGCATAAATAATAATTATAATAATAGGTTATAGCCCAGGCTACACAGTGAGCTCAGTGGCCTCTAGTTCAGAAGAACGTAACTCAAAATGGGCCTTGCACAACACAGGTGCACTTACCTACATGCAGGCAATACACGCATACACATAAAAATAATAAAATAAATTTTTTTAAAGTAATATTTAAATACTCCCCCCCGCCAAAAAAAAAAAAAAAAAACTGCCAGGCATAATGGCACACACCTTCAAGACCAGCACTGGAAGGCTGAGGCAGGCAGTTCTCTGTGAGATCAAGGCCAGCCTGGTCTACATAGTAAGTTCAAGGTTAGCTGGGGCTATAGGGAGACCCCCATCTGAAAAACAACAACAACAGCAAAAAAGTAAAATTTAGGGGCTGGAGGGATGGCTCAGTGGTTAAGAACACTGGCTGTTCTTGCAGAAGACCTGAATTTGAATCCCAGCACCCACATAGCAGCCAAAAACTGTAAGTCCAGTTCCAGGGTATCCAACAGCTCTTCTGTCTTCTGTGGGCATTGCACGACACGCGTACACTTACCTACATGCAGGCAAAGCATGCATACACATAAAATAGAAATAATAAATAAAATATTTTAAAAAATAAAAAATATTAAAAAATAAAATTATTTTTTTTAAAT